GGATCATATGTGGATTAAACCCAGTCAGCTGCCTGCTAGGCAGGTCTTACCTCCTATGCTAGCTCTTTCCCCCTCCATCAGGATCTTCAAGAAAGAATGGGGCCAGAAAGAGAGGACAGGGTTAAGGTGCGTGTCTTGTTGTATCTCTGACACCACATGGACCTCCCCTGGCACCCACCAAGGTGACCGGGTAGCCCTCCTCAGCACAGCAGGGTCTGCACGTTGAACTGCTGTCCAGTTGGCCAAGAGTCATTGCCCCTGCCCCCAGCCCCAAGAAAACTATCATCACAGATGGCATGAACTTACACGTGGGAACATCCTGTGGAATTCCTGAAAAACAGTCAGTAAACAAGTCCAATAATTGTGTTCCTGTGCCTTTGCAGGGTACAGTAAGAAGCCAGAGTAAGAAAGCAAGTCCAGCTATAGTAACATTCAAAGGACAAACTGTTTAAGGCTGGTCATGTGGCTTGCACACTCCTGGCTGTGGGCAAGTACCATAACTAAAGGGGATGTGCAAGCACTGTGGCCAGGAGCAAATCCCCTGTGTGCACACTGAGCAGGTGTATGAACAAACACCGTAACTAAGTATACAGGCTGAGGCCATGTTCAGTCTCTGCTCTGCCTGTGTGGCCGCCCCAGCACTGCACAGAGCAACTCACAAGCTTCTGAGCGTTCCCCAGGGTGTGCCTGCCCCCCCTCCCGTAGAATCAAATAACAACTTGACGAGCACAGTCCCTAGCAGGCCTAGGCCAAGTGTACGTGCACGGCCACCAACTGTGTATGTGACCCCTGATTAGCACCATTAGCAAGGGTGTGTGCTACGCCAATCATCACAGTGGCACCAAAGCAGGTAGGCGAGATTGGATTCCATTACAGTTAAGAGCATTTGTGCTTCAAGGATGACATCAGAATGGGAAAAAGTGCCACAGAATGGGATTAAGTAGTTGCAGATTTGACCAGGGAGAAGGCCCAGGGGGTCATAGCATATACTTTGCATTTGGGAACTCATGACCTAGTACTGCATGATTCCTTGAGCATCACCAGGTTACGGATCCCAAATATATACAGATCATGTGCCTCAAAAACAAAACACACACACACATACATACATACACATATATACATACATATATATATATATATATATATATATATTTACAACTCATGTAGCTGCATCTAAGTTCCTGGGGGATGTTTGTCTTCGGCTTCATTTTGCATGTGTTTCTTTTGTAGTGGTGTAATGTTAGTCTTATAAAATGAATCGGGAGGATTTTCCTCCTCATTTATGATCTGGAAGAGATTGTGTAAAATAGACTTGAATTTTTCTTTAAATGTTTGGTACAGTTAGGGGCCAGGAGACTTCCTTTTCAGGAACCTTTTAGATTTTTTTTTTAATTTTGCTCTTTGTGTCACACCCAGCGATGCTCAGGGGTTACTCCTGGCTCTGCACTCAGAAATTACTCCTGGCAGTGCTGGGGGGACCATATGGGATGCTGGGAATTGAACCTAGGTCAGTCGTGTGCAAGGCAAACGCCCTACCCGCTATACTATCCGGCCCCTCAGGAACCTTTTAATTATTAATTACATTTAGGGGAATTTTCAAATGATTTTAATTGTATTCATGTTATCTGTTAGATCTTACTGAGAATCAAAGTTTGTGGTTTTTCAGAAGTGTTTGTGTCCTGTAAAGTGTCCAATTTATGGATGCAGGGTTGTTTTAAATATTCCCTTCTCTTCTTTCAAATGATTGTTACACCTTTAGTGATATTCTCTTGTTCTTAATTTTCGTGATGTATGAATTCTCTCTTTTGCTCTTAACAGTCTTTCTACAGGTTTATTTTATTGGGTCTTTGTAAAAATAGCTTGTTGGGCCATTGACTTTTTTTTTCCCGTTTTCATGTGATTGATTTTTGTTCACTCTTCGTTCTTTCTGCTTGCTTTGATTTTATTTTTTTCAGTGTCTTTAAATAGAAAATTAGATTGCTAATTTGATGTTTACTAATATAAACTTTTTATTGTAATTTTTCCCTCTGTATTACTTTATCTATGACCCCCTATTTTTTTTTTCATACAGTTGTATTTTTATAATTTCCTCTTTGAGGGCCAAAGTGATAAAACAGCAGGTAGTGTGCTTATCTTGCACACAGACCACCCAGGTTCAATCCCTCTCACCACATATGGTCCTGAGTCCTCTGGAGTGATCCCTGAGTGCTGATCCAGGAGAAAGTGCTGAGCACTGCCGGGTGTGGCCCCCCAAGACTAAGTAAATATATTTTCTCTTTGAGACTTCTCTTCGAGCCACACATTATTTAGAAATGGTTCTCCTCCCCCCCCCCAAAATTTGAAATATTTTGTTATTGATTTGGAGTTTGATATTTTTTATGTCCAGAGAACCTGCTCTGTTATTTCAGTTCTTTAAATTTGTTGAAATTAATTTTATGACATAGAATATGATTTTTCTTGGTGTGTATTCAATGAACATTTGAAACAAATGTTTACTCTGTTGTTGGATGAAGTATTCTGTATACTTTGTAAATAGGCTGCCTGTTTCTTTGTACTTGAAGCCATTTTCTTGTCCCTAGGATATTGTTGGGTACAGTCCTCTTTCCTAGTGTTTTTGTCCTTGTCCTCTCAGCCTATGAATAGTGATGTCGGGGCCCAGGAATGTCTTGACCCAAATTACTTGTGCCGGTCTCTGTAGCATGCCCCAACCAGAGCCAGGGTCTTGGCTGGATCAACCCTGTGCCTCTTATCATTACAAGAGGCACCTGAACAATAATCGTCAGGAAAATTCAAAAATACAAGGCTTGGTACTCACAGGGAGATACAGTAGCCACTTTGCTGCCAAAGGGTACAGTTGCAGGTAAAAAGAAAATTTTATAAAGGTGAGTTTGGGGGTTTGCCATGTTGAAGTTGAACATGGGGAATCTAGGATTTCAAGGATCACCTCCTCATTAGTAACTTTATCATAAAAATAAGGAGTTAAGGCTCAGGGATGGGGGAAAGCTGAGGCTCATTCAGATAATCACTAACTAGTTTTTTTCTTCTGTTTTCTTGTGGGGTTTTTGTTTGTTTTTTCTTCTTTTGGGGTTAGACATGGCAATGCTCGGGGCTTACTCCTGGCTCTGTGCTTAGGGATCACTCCTGGCAGGCTCAGGGGACCATATGGAGTGCCAGAGATTGAACCCAGGTCAACTGTGTGCAAGGCAAGAATCCTACCCGCAGTACTTTCTCTCTGGCCCCAGGGTTTAGTCCCTCCCCTTCCTTTTCCTTCCCGTTTCAGCAACACAGTTCACACACTTGGTTATGCTGTCGCTCATGTTTGGTTGCATGTGTGCACAACCCACTCAGTGATGTGGTCTGGTGTCTCGGATCAAATTAGTGGTCTCACATTGTAAGGACGGTGTCCTGCCACTGCTTTCTGGGTGGGGCAGCCTGGCTCTTGACCTAGCCATGTGTTTGTCAATATGTTTCTTCGAGATGGATATGTTTGAATCAGGTCTCAACAATTAAAGCTTAATTTCAGGCACTTACCTCACAACCCGGCTGAAGCGATAGCACAGTGGGTTGGGCATTTGCTGTGCATGCGGCTGACATGGCTGACCTAAGTTCGATTCCTCCGCCCTTCTCTGAGAGCCCGGCAAACTACCGAGAGTATCTTGCCCGCATGGCAAAGCCTGGCAAGGCTCCCCATGACGTATTCGATATGCCAAACACAGTAACTAGTGTCACAATGGAGATGTTACTGGGCTCGCTCGAGCAAATCAATGAACAACAGGAGGACAGTGACAGTGACCTTACAACCATTCTTTATTCACTGTTAATTGGTATATTTAAACCATTTATAATTGAAAGGCTCAGTGACTATGGCTTTCATCTTTGGAACTGCAAAAAAAAGTTGGTATGTGTGTGTGTTTGTGTGATTATTGTTAGGACTTCAGTCTACCATTTGTATTATTTTCTGTTTCTCTTTTGTTATTTTCCTGTGGTTTCTTTAAACATGTGGTGCAGGAGGAGGACAAGCCTGGTAACACTTGGGGTCTCTCCCTACCAGGTGATTGGGGACTCGGGTGGTGTCAGGGAGTGACAGCAGGCTCCTGCTTGCAAAGGGTGCACCCCAGCCCTTCTTGCTGGTTCTCTTGGTACTTGCTGAGTGAGAAGCTGTATTGTGGCGCTTACCAGGGATGGTCTCTCCGGCTGGGCTTGCACATGTGCTCTCCACTATCTCACTCGAGGTGTGGTGCTCCCATTCTGGTTGTAGTGCTTGACAGGGATCAGACACTGGAGTTGTGGTGCTCACACATGCATCTGTGCTGCTAGCACATGTATTTAGTTCCAGTGTTTTCCTGAAATTACACCCTTTAATTTTGGTGCTTGCCCACATGCCAGGTGCAAAAGGCAGAGCTGCCAGGTGACACGGAGCACGTGCGGGCTGCCCCATGACTGAGCTCGGTCTCGTGCTTGCTCTGATCTTGAACAATTTTGAACAACTTTTTTTTAAAATTTGTATATAATGGCTGAGAATATCACTTTTATGTTGTTCGCATAGACAGTGTTCTAGATCGGAACGTATCTAAGTTATTCTATCAGTGTTTTACCAATTTGAGTGAAGCATAGAAACTTTACTTTAATATAATCTCTTTAACCTCCCAGTTTTTAAATATAATTGTATTTTGTCTACATGGTTCTACTCCATGTTTTCATTATTATTCATTATTTCAGCAATTTAAAGGCATTATTTCAGCAATTTAAAGGCATTATTTCAGCAATTTAAAGGCATGAAAGCAGGATACTTATTATCAGTGAAGTGGATATGTCTGTGAGAGCAGGTGGAATGGTCAAAGAGGAAGTTAGCCTTGAAGGAACATAAGAGAAAGAATATTATGTGTAAATAGGAAGTAAGGTGCCATTTTGGCTGGGAAGCTGGAACCGTAATTCAGTAAGGAACAAAAGTGGTTGGTTCTTAACCAGATTTTTCTAATCTTTTCCTTGCTAGCCAAGAAGGATCAGGAAGACGGAGAAGAAAAGAAATCTGTGCAAAAGAAAAAAGTGAAAGAATTAAAGGTGCTGGATTCAAAGACATCCCAGAATCTATGTGAGTAACTCTATGATCTATTTGAAGTGTGAAGAGCATAATTCTGATAAATCTGAGGAAATAGAAGCTAAGACTGCAAGGAATTTTGTCTAGTCACATACCTAGTAAGAGACAGGTCGGGGATTTAAGTCTCAAATGTTTTAATTTAAAACCCTTATTATTTCTGTAACAAATAATTACCACATAGTACCACATAGAATCTACCACAGGGATTGACGAGCTAATCTAGCAGGTAAGGTGCTAACCTAGCATGAGACTGGCTGGGGTCCAGTCCCTACCACACATCTGAACTGAGCACAGCCGGGTATGGTCCAAAAACAAAAAAGGGGAAAAAAATAAACCTACCACAAATGTTCTATCCATTATACATTATACATATTCTTCTTTCTCACTTTTATTTAAATGCAGGCACTGGCTTGACTTCAATTAAATCTAAAATCACTTTGTGGTTATGAATAATGTAAAGCCTGTGCACTGTAGAGCAGAATCAGTGACTCTGAGAAGGCTCTGCTAAACTTCCTTCCTGGAGTCATGATATTAATTTTGGGCAAAATTTCAAATAAGATCCTCTCTATAGTTGGTACAGATCATACTTATTTGATGATCTGGATGACTCTTTGATTTTTCTATTCATTTTTATATTAATCTCTGTTTTATGCTGAGTAATATAGACGTAATCAGGTTGTAGGCTCTGCTAAGCACATCCTAGGCATGTTTTCCAAAGGTGAGAGTATGCATAAATAAATATAAAGACCTTATTATTTCTATAATAAGTAATAAATTAATAAATAATTACTTATGTGTAATTTTTTTTGAAATAAAAAGAAAAGAAATGGAACCTTGAGACTCACCATGTTCAGTGGTCAGGACCATCCCAGAGGCTGAGTTCTTGCTCTGGGGGTCTCAGGAGTGAAGGCACTGGCTTCCATTTCTGGGCGGTGCTTGGTGCTGGGGCCGTTGGGAGTGTGCTGACCCTCGCTGCCTCTCTCGGCCTCTCCTCTCCCGGGACTCTCCTGTCGCTGAGAGGTCTCTCTGAGCGACGCCCACAGTACCTGACTCCCCATTCCTGACACATTTCACATAGGTGTCACGCATGTTGGCATGCACTCTCATTCCTGTTTTTCTACTTCTTTTTTCCCCCAAAATTTTACTTTATGAAAATATCGTGAGTTACAGAGTCACTCCTCGCTAGGTTTTGACCTGCCGTGTTTCATCACAGTCCTGCCACCAGAATTGCTTCTCCCCACCCGTGTGCCAGGCCCCCTTCCTGCCCCTGCTCTCATCCCCTGCTGGCCCCTTTAACAGACACCTTTTAAATTAGGTTATTATGGTCTGGGGCCTGCAACTTCCATATTGTACAGAGGGTAGGGGGCCTGCTTCTCTGGGGACCGTCCCCGGCCTCCCATAAGCTCCACAGGAGTGATTCTTGGGTGCAGAACCAGGAGTGACCCATGAGCACGACTCAGTGTGGCCCAACAACCAAAACCAAAAACGCAAAAAAAAAAAAAAACCCTAACATGGCATATTTGGTATGATTAGAAATATGTGTATTTGAAAGCTGGGCCAGAGCAATAGCATAGCGGGTAGGGCATTTGTCTTGCATGTGGCCGACCCGGGTTCGAATCCTCCGCCCCTCTCAGAGAGCCTGGCATGCTACCAAAATTATTCTGCCTACATGGCAAAGCCTGGCAAGCTACCCATGATATATTCGAGATGCCAAAAGCAGTAATAACAAGTCTCACAATGAAGACGTTACTTGTGCCCGCTTGAGCAAATGGATGAACAGAAGGACAGTGCTACAGTGCTTTATGTGTATTAAAATAATAAATATATAATATATTATAAATGATATATAATAAGTAATTACACACACATATATATGCTTTCTCAGGAGATTGGAGACATGGCTCAAAGGGCATTTTTTTTTTTTTTTTTTTTGCTTTTTGGGTCACACCTGGCGATGCACAGGAATTACTCCTGGCTCTGCACTCAGGGATTACCCCTGGTGGTGCTCAGGGGACCATATGGGATGCTGGGAACTGAACTCGGGTCAGCCGTGTGTCAGGCAAACGCCCAACCCGCTGTGCTATTGCTCCAGCCCCCTCAAAGGGCGTTCTTTGCATTGCAGGGGCCCCCATCCTGTCCCTGAAAACCACATGGTAACCATACAAACTGGGAGTGTCCCTAAGCACTGAGTCATGCTTCACTCCTGAACATTGCTGACTGTGACTTCAGAACAAAACTAAAGGGTCGGAGAGATAGTACAGTAGGTAGGAGGTAGGGCACTTGCCTTGCTTGTGGCCAACTCAGATGTGATCCCTGGTATCCCATATGGTCCCCCAAACACTGCCAGGAGTGATGCCTGAGTGCAGAGCCAGGAGTAACCCCTGAGCATTGCCGGGCATGACCCAAAACCCAATATATATATATATATATATATATTTTTTTTTTTTTTAAACCACATAAGTCCATTTACAGTCTTTCAGTGTGACTGTTATCCCCATATTTCCAGATGAGAAAATCAAAGGTCAAATGATATGAGTTAGCCAATATCACACAAGCTGATAAGTAAAATCAGTGATAATGTGATATTGAGAGCAGTAAGTCCTAACATTATTCTTAGTTACACGATTTTTGATTGTTGACAACAATTGTTAATTAGTAGGGTCTGAGGGTAAATTCCTTTATGAAGCAGGGACTAAAGGAATGTAAGGTAGTTCCTTTCCTTAAGACTGTCTCAGGAACATAAAACATAAGTAATTATTATTTTCGAAATCGATGCAAGACTATGGGATACATTGCTATTTCCACTTTAGTGATAATCTGTAGGGAAATAATTTAGGAAGAGAATGGAGATTCATTTAAGATAGGATAGACTAGGAGTTTCAGTTTACTGGTTCAACAATTATTCTTGTGTTTGGGTTACTAGGGATTGAACCCAGATCCTCAACAATTAAATTTAAGTGCCTCTTACGTGCTGGAAAGATGAAACTGAATAAGACAGTACCTCTCCTCATGCACCATATGTTGGATTGGGATCGGAAAGTATGGTAGTAGGTCAGATTGAGTAGTGCTGTGACATTCACTAAGAAAGGGGCAGTGATGTCCGCCAGACAGCACATTCTAGAGGTCAGTCAGAGAAGATTTCTGCTTCAGCACAGTTAAATGAAAGGTGAGGGCTGGTTGATTACAGCTGGAGAAGCATCCTTCACTGTGAGACCCAGGAGGTCATCTTCTGAGATAACCACAGTTTGGGAACTACAAGCAGTTGAGCACTTCTGAGCTAAAGCCATATGTGGGAGCAGATGTCCGCTCCAATGCCGAGCTCTCCCATGGCCCCTGGTCGTTCTTACCTGTGCTTTTTGCAAGAATTTGCAAGTAGGTGGCTTAAGGGAGTTGCTTAGCAACTCGTGAGCCCTGAACACAGCTGGGATTAGCCTCCAAGTGCCAATACTGGGCACAAGCAGTGCATCTCGGGGCCCAAGCTTTGAACCAGCCAGCCTTGTTGGTCAAGTATCACAAGGAGTGACCCCTTGGCCCCTTGAGCAGTGCTTCGGAGGGCTCCCCAAATTTATAACTTAAATGTGAACATGCATAAGAGAGAAAGCTGCAAAATGAGAGAGAGAGAGAGACAGAGAGAGAGACAGAGAGAGACAGAGAGAGAGAAGAAAAGCACCTAGGAGGTGGGGAGTGGAGTGGGGGGCATTGGGAGTTTGGGGGGTGTTGGGAGGGCACTTTGGGGACACTTATGCTGGGAAATGTACACTGGTGGAGGGATGGGTGTTAGAATACTATATGACTGAAACCTAATCATACACAGCTTTGTAAGGGTCCCCAAAAAAAGAAAGAAAGAAAAAAAAGAAAATACTGGCTGTTAAACACATATACAGTGATTTTAATATTTAAAATATACATGTGAATTTACAAAAGAGGGGATGAGAGAGAGAGAGAGAGAGAGAGAGAGAGAGAGAGAGAGAGAGAGAAGTTTGTTTTCAATTTTCTTTTTCTGCTTTTGGGCCACACCCAGTGGTACCCAGGCTGACTTCTGGCTCTGCACTCAGGGGCCCCACCAGCAGTACTCGAGCAACCATATGCAGTGCCAGGGATTAAACCTGGGTCGGCCGCTTGCAAGGCTGGCCCCTCCCCACTGTTCTGCGTCTCTCGCCCCAAACATGTCTCCTTGTATTTCTTTTTCTGCAGCAATCTTCCTGGGCTCCTTCCGCATGCCCTACCAAGAGATTAAGAACGTCATCCTGGAGGTGAATGAGGCTGTACTCACTGAGTCCATGATCCAGGTAAGGAGCCCCCTGTCTGCTGGCCCCATCTCCCGCTGTCCCTGAAGTGTGCTGGCTTCGGGTACACTTCCCCCTCGGGTGGGGGGGGGGGTGTCAGGCTGTTTCTCATCTGTGTCTCAGTCCCATTGTCTTCCTTGCTGTCTCCATCCCCAGCCCCGTGATCCTGGGGCAGGCAGCGAGCACTGACAGGAGAGCCAAAGAGCTGTTTGCCTCCAATTGTGGGCTCGTCCTCTCTAAGTGAAATGGTGCCTTCTCTGTTCCAGAACCTCATCAAGCAGATGCCGGAGCCAGACCAGTTAAAAATGCTCTCAGAACTGAAGGACGAATACGACGATCTGGCCGAGTCGGAGCAGTTTGGAGTGGTGGTGAGTGCGGCCTGTGAGAGGGGCCCCCAGGCTCCCCGCCTTTGTCTGGTTGGAGCCTCCTATTCTCACCCTCCCCTCTCCCTGCTCTGGGACTCAGTTTCCCCTAGTGGCTTTGGCACTTGTCTTGGCCCTGCTTCTGGCTCCGTTGTGACGGAATGTTCGTCTCCCCTTCCAGATGGGCACCGTGCCCTGCCTGCGGCCTCGTCTCAATGCCATCCTTTTCAAGCTCCAGTTCGGCGAGCAGGTGGAGAATATCAAGCCCGAGATCGTCTCTGTGACTGCTGCGTGTGAGGAACTGCGCAAGAGCGAGAACTTCTCCAGCCTCCTGGAGATCATCCTGCTCGTGGGCAACTATATGAATGCCGGCTCCCGGAACGCCGGTGCTTTCGGCTTCAACATCAGCTTTCTGTGCAAGGTGAGCTGGGCTAAGAGCAGGGCAGCAGTTGGGAGAACCGCTGGCCTCTCAGGGTTCCATGTCCCTTGTGAGGGTCAAGGCTTCCAGGAACTGACGCTTGCCTCTCTCTGCCCAAGCTCCGAGACACCAAGTCCACGGATCAGAAGATGACACTGCTTCACTTCCTTGCGGAGTTATGTGAGACTGAGCACCCCAATGTCCTCAAGTTCCCAGACGAGCTTGCCCACGTGGAGAAAGCCAGCCGAGGTAGGACGGCTTGGGGGTGAAGCCAGAAGATGATTCCAACATCCCGACCACCCCCCCAAAAAAGAAAAAAATCTCTGCGGGCGATAGAAACAAAAGTTTAGAGTCTTAGATCGTTTTCACATCAGACTGCTTTCCGTGGAATTGGGAGAGATGTGGACGTGCAGTCCAAGCCCTAGGGGAGGATTTGCAAGCATGAGGGTCTCGTGTATAGAAGTGTGGAGAGCTCTTTCTTTCCCTAGACCCACTGGGCTTGGATCAACAGTTTTTTTCATTCAGAAAGCAGAGACTGGGCTGGGGAGATAACCCCAAGGACTTGTGTGTGTGCTTTTCATGCTGGAGGCCTGGGTTCCATCCTGGGCATCTCATGGTACCCCCCGAGAACTAAGCGGGAGTAGCCCCTGAGCACCACTGGTTGTGCCCCATAAAACAAACAAAAGTATGGACTCAATCAATGAAAGTTAGTCCTTTCGATCCTAGAACTAGACAACAAAAAGCATTCCGGCTAGAGAGATGATAGTACAGGGCAGGGTGCTTGCCTTCCACCTGACCCAGTTTCAATCCCTGGCACCCTACTTGTTCCCCTTGAGTCTTCCAGGACTGATTCTTGAGCAGAGTCAGGAGTAAGTCCTGAACACAACCGGATATAGCCCAAAAACAAAAAAAGAAAAAGACAGCACACAGTCTGTCTCTTCTGCCTGGTCTCTGTGTTTCTGCGTATGTCTGCTTCCTCCTAAGCCCTGTTCACTATAATAAATGAGACTGAGATCCCAGGGGGATTGTATAGATTCTTACTAAGTGAAGCTTCCCATCCCTTTTTTTTTTTTTTTTTTTTTTGCTTTTTTGGGTCACACCTGGCGATGCACAGGGGTTACTCCTGGCTCTGCACTCAGAAGTTACTCCTGGTGGTGCTTAGGGGACCATATGGGATGCTGGGAATCGAACCCGGGTCGGCCGCGTGCAAGGCAAACGCCCTACCCGCTGTGCTATCTCTCCAGCCCTTCCCGTCCCTTCTTAATACCTCTGTACAGCTTGTGGGGGCTGGAGATTCAATCATCCAGTAATTTATAGTTTTACTGAAAAGATGTTAAAGAGCACTAAAATAACAAAGCACTAGATATTTGCATGAAGTTATACACGGAAGGGCAGAAGAACCTTAAGTTCTTGCAATCAATTTTGTATTTTCTTTAGTCTCTGCTGAAAACCTGCAGAAGAATCTAGATCAGATGAAGAAACAGATTTCCGATGTGGAGCGTGATATTGAGAAGTTCCCACCTGCCACAGATGAGAAAGACAAGTTTGTTGAAAAAATGACTATATCCTTTCTTAAAACAAGAATTCGCCCTTTGAGATGGGGAAGGAGAACTTTCCATGGCTGGACAGCAAGACTGATCTGGTCAGACACAATTTTCCTTCTTTAAAAAGGCTTCCTTTAACCAAATACATTCACATTTTTGTAGCAAGGGAGCAAACCAACCAAATTACTGAAAAGCAGAGTAACTAAATTCCTATTCACCATTGATCCCGTGCCCTCTGCCCCATCACTGCTCTTCACATGTTCTCCCTTCTGCCTCCCCTCCCCAAGGTAACCTCTGCCTCTGGATCTCTTTCTGGTGACTTAAGACATTAATCACATTGTCTTAGCTTTGCTTTCATAGCAATATATGCAGGATGTCCCCTAAATTGCCGGTTTCTGCTCTGTAGATGTGCCATGACTTAAGGCTTACGAATTTCCTCGTTTGGACTGTTCAGTTGCTTCTGACTTGCACTATCATGAGCATTACTAGGCTGAAGGTCCTTTGTGTGTTCTGGTGTGAAGCTTGTCTTCCTCCAGCCCGGGAGAGTGGGTCTGCTTCTTGGTCTTGGTCCTTTACTCCGCAGCTGCACAGCTTTGTGAAGGACGCCAGGGAGCAGTATGACAAGCTGCAGATGATGCACTTGAACATGGAGACTCTGTACAAGGAGCTGGGCGAGTACTTCCTCTTTGACCCCAAGAAGGTGTCGGTGGAAGAGTTCTTCATGGATCTGCACAACTTCAAGAACATGTTTGTGGTAAGAGACACCTACTGACCCGATCTTTTGTGGATGGGTCTTGCCGTCCACTGGGCTTGTGCGGGCCGGCATGTGAGTTCCTTTCTACTCACGCACTCGCTGTTGCCCCTTCCAGCAAGCAGTCAAGGAAAACCAGAAGAGGCGGGAGACAGAGGAGAAGTTGCGTCGAGCCAAACTGGCCAAGGAGAAGGCCGAGAAGGAACGGCTAGAGAAGCAACAGAAGAGAGAGCAGCTCATCGACATGAATGCGGGTAAGACGCGCAGGCTGGACGGCATGCGCTGGAGGCTTTGGAAGACTCTTCTGTCTCCGCTTTCCAGAGGGGACAGCCCGGGTCTGAACTCAGCGCCTGGCAATTGGTTGCTGGCTGCCTGCTACCTCCAACAGCCCGATGCTGGGCTCGGCCCCCAGCACAGTTTCATGCACATTCCAACTTCCCACTCTCCATTTTCTCGCCTTTGCTGCTTCCTGTTCTGTGTCTCATCTCCCCAGTGATTTTAGTGTTGGAGCAACGTGTACTCTTTCCTTCTGCCAGGCCTGTTTTCATACCCACTACTTAATCTTTTGTTCCTTTTCCCGAAACTGTTTTCCCAGTCCTGCTCCCGTCTCTAAATGGTGGCTTGCTTTTTTTGTGTGTGCTTATTTTACTACATGCGCTGTCCCCAGCGCTTCAGTTGTACATACGTATCGGATTATAAAAGGATTGAACTTCTGGAAAGGGCGCTGGGATGCTGGCCACCCTCTTTCTTTAGCAGAATCTCCATCCTGCTACCAGAAGCATGTCTTTGTTGAAACATATGGCCTCAATTATTCGCCCTCTGCTTCCTGTCTCTGCTGTTTTCCTGCTGCTGGTTCCCAGCCCCCTCTGGCTGTTGTATATACAGGCAACGGAAATCCAGCATGCAGTTGCTTGCGGCATGGAGCCCATGCCACCCTTCTTGAACTGGGGGGGGGGGGGGGGGGGGGCTGTAGGCTGTCCGGGGGAGGGAAGGCTGGGGAGCTTCTCAGGGCTACAGTGTGTGGTAACACAGAATTCTTTGCTGAGCACAAGAGGCAAGAGCTGCTCTTCATGCCTTTTGCTCCTGGGAACTTTTCCTGTCATGGTCATGGCAAGGACCTGAAGGAGCAGGACTTGCCTCCGTTTCTGCTTTCTAAAACCCCTTTTCTGGGAAGCAGTTCCTCTGCGCTTATCCCAGTTGTAAGCCACAAGCTTTGTTCTGATAATGCTCTTGGTGCCTGCACTAAGTCTTCTCCACCTCTCCCATCCTCCCCAAACCCCTAGGGTTTATTCCCAGAAGTATCTAGGATGCTGAGAGGGCATTTGGGATGTGGGCCCTGCCTCGTCATCAGGTGGCGCAGTGGGCCTTGCCCTGTCTGCCTCCCCAGGGCCAGCAAATGAGGTTGGAATGTAGGTCAGCTGCAAGGCAATGGGCCACCAGCAGGTGGCGCCTGGAACAGCGAGCCCAGCCTGGTCTTGGGGGGCCCCTTCCACTCCTTGGGATTTCACAGTTTCAGATTTCACCACCCAGAACTGTTGCCATGGAAACAGAGCCAGGCTGCAATAAGGATTCTGCTTTAACTCTTTCTCTTCCACCCAGAAGGCTCCTTTACAGTTCTGAGCTGGCTTTGGGAAGATGCAGCCACTGGGGGCAGTATTAAAGTGAAATGTCTGCAGTGTTCTCACCTTCCCCCAGCCTTCCTCAAACCTAAACCTCATACCTCCACAGCATGTTTATGTCAGCCAGGGTGAAGCTCTTCAGGATAAAGAGTGATAGAGTTCCATATGAATTTCCAAAATATATATTCATACCTCTGGTCACGGAGTCGGACCGTTCTCTGATCCTCCGAGAGGAGGGTCCCCAGCATGTTTGTTATCCCAAGGTTCTCAGTAAACCCTTTTGTTTTAACCATTTTGAACAGGCATTTTAAATAAACACGGACTGTGTGGCATGATTCCTCCATCTCTGTAAGCGCCCCCACCCCCACCCCCTGGGCACGAAGAAGCCAAGTCAAGCACTTTGTGTGGGCCCCAGCACAGGTGTGTGGCATGTCTGAAGTGCTTACATCTGTATCTTTGTTCCTGACAGAGGGTGATGAAACAGGCGTAATGGACAGTCTTCTGGAAGCCCTGCAGTCAGGGGCGGCGTTCCGACGGAAGAGGGGGCCTCGCCAGGGTAAGTCAGCAAGTGGAGCCCACCCTGGGGGTTGGGGGAGGGGGAGACCTCTGCTTCTGGCCCCGCTTGTCTTGGGCTCAGGGCTTACAGCTCCCCTTCTGTGGGCCCCGCATCTCCAGTGGATCGTTTAGGCCTTTGTCTTCCATGTGCTGCCTGGAAGCGCAGGATTGAGGGAGGCAACAGTTCCCGTTGGTGATCTTTCCACCTCCCCCCATTAAGTATACAAATAGAAAGCAACCTCACTACAAACTTTAACGTGAGATCTAGAAAGTACAAAGGAAATACCAAGGGAAAAGTGATGAATCTTTATTCTTCACAAGCAAAAGTGATGTCAAGGAATAAAAAGTATAAGATCTGGGGACTGAAGAGGCAGAATTAAGTCGCTGGCCTTGCACGCAGCTTTACCCAGATTTGACCTCCAGCCTCCTGTTCAGTCCCGCAGACCGCACCAGTTGTGAGCCCTAAACTCAGAGTCAGGAGTACGTCATGGTAGACTGTAGGGGAGCATCTCCATAGAAGTGAGTCTGAGACCCACTTTCCTCTTGGATGCAGTTTGCCGCCACTGCACTTGCCTTTCTCCCAGTCCTGCCCCTCTTCCCTAAACCTCCACTGCAATCTTCAAAAATATTAAGTGGATTCTGTTGAGTCTTAAAAAGTTCAGCTAATGGGGCCCGAGCAATAATATAGCCAGTAGAGTGCTTGCCTTGCATGTAGCTGACCTGGGATCACTCCCCAGCATCTCATATGTTCCCCCCAAGCAGCGCCAGGAGCCAGGAGTAACCCCTGACCATCACCAGGTATGACTCTAAAACAAAACAAAAAAATTATGGGTCTAAGAGGACAGTTGAGCCAAGCATTAGTATAGGGAAGAATCAGTAGATCGGTTTCCTTTGATGACAGCTACAGGACTGAGAGAAATCTCAAGGATGGTTTAGCCCCGGCCGCCTCCTAGGTGCTGCGTCTGCGCTGCTGTTCCAGTGAAGGCTCCTTGCACTCATCACTGAAAGGTTCTTTTCTCTAAGTTGAAGGTGGGAATTAGAGAAAAGGCATCAGAACAGGTTTCCCTCCTAGGGAGTCAAAGCTCTGTCTCCTGGCAGGTGCCTTCTGTCGGTGTGTTTGAGGTGAGCTTCACTGCGAGGTTATTATAAGAGAAAGAATTGGCAGGTTTCTGTGAAGACCGGCTGCCTGCTTCCGGCCAGACTCTCCCTACCAGGGGGAAGTTCCGTTCTGAGGCTTCTGTGTATTACCTCAGACCTTTCCCTAAAGAGAAGAGCCCTCGTTATAGCTCTGAGCTATTTACTGACCCCCTTTGAGTGGTCTCCTTGGGGGTGTAGAGGTGGCTGTGGTGGCGGGAGCCTTCCCGACGTGGCTGCAGGGTTCGGTCTCCCACAGTTGCCCTTCAAGGTCCCCACAGCTCTGTTTCCTGTCTACCATGTAAGGCCATGTTCTCTCTGAGCAGTTCTTGCCAAACAAAAATACACGGAGCTCACTGTTTTCCTCTGCCCTGTCAACCAAAGTGTCACCCTGCTTTAGATACTGGCGCTTCCCTTGTAAGCCTCTTCCTGCGGAACGCCACTAAAACCCCAGCTGCTTCCCGTGCACAGACACAATAGGAAGGAGGCAGACACGAATCGCTTCCTTCTGACCGGGGAAGCCCCTCTCTCCGCTTCTTCCTGAGTAAGGATTCCCGGGTGGAGGAAGCGAGTATTTCAACCTCACCTTTGGGCCACGAGACAGGAACACTTCTGTTCTAGTGTGTGCAGCAATATGAGGCGGGCGCTAGAAGATACGGGGCCAGAGATGATGAGCAGGAGAGCTCCAGTTTTCAAAGTTGACTCCATCCTGTCATTTTTACCTGTCTGAGATCTAGGTTTACGTAACCCACCTGCACATACCCGCGAGAAGCTCGAACAGGAGACCTTTACTCTTACTCTGGTAAACGCTTAGGCCTTGGCACATTCATGGTATCTACAGTGATATCTCCTTGTATAAAGGCTCGGCATCAAAGCAGTGTGTGAGGGCCAGAGTGATTGTACAGCAGGTAGGGCGTTTGCCTTTCATGTGGCTGACCCAGGTTCAATCCCCAGCATCCCATATGGTCTCCCAAACACAGCCAGGAGTAATTCCTGAGTGAAGAGCCAGGAGTAACCCCTGAGCATCACTGGGTATGACCCAAAAAGAGAGAAAAAAAAAAGTAGAGTGTGAAACATAGGTACAGATCAAAAGACTCAAAGTTGGACAGGAGAGATAGTACAGGACATCAGGCCTTGCCAAGTTCGGTTCCCGGCACTGCATATGGCCCCACATATGGATGGCCAGGAGGGATCCCTGAGCACCGAACCAGGAGTAAGCCTAGAGTACAGTTAGGTGTGGCCCGAAAACAAAAAGAAAAACAATTTGTCTTAAAGACACAAATTGAAATATACTGCTAACAGATGCTGTCTGTTACCTTAGTAAATCACTTAATGTTTCTGGGATTTCATTTCTTCATGAGAGTTGGACTAGAATAGTCTCTAGGGTCCTTTCCAGCTTTAATATTTTTTCATGCAGCAACAATAGGATTAAGATGAGCAGAAAAGAAAAAGGTTGGACCCAGAAGCCCATTCTCACACTCTCAGGCTCTGGTGGCCGTGGATGTCCCCGGGCTGCTGCTGCCCTTAGCTGCCCACCCTCTCTTGGCTGTTTCCGACTGTCCCTTCTGGCGCATCGCTCTGAGCCAGAAGAGAGAGGCACTATCAGGCGCCCCTGCCTCACAGCCCTTCTCAGTCCCGGAGAGACAGCTGTCCCTATTCAAAGGCACTGGCCTTTTCCCTAGATTTTAAAGGAATCTGAAATCATCCGGTCTCTGGAGACCTGCGGGAGTGCCAGTGTACAAAGACCCATTGAGTGCCGCGAAGAGGAGAGTCACTATCAGGGCTGGTTCATTCAGACAGATGTGTAAAGTGCTGGGATCTGTGGGGTGTGAGGGAACAAAGGCTCGAGTGTCAAAGGGAAGAATTCACGCAATTGTATTCTAGCCTCTAGTTCAGGCTAATGATTGAGTCAGCTTGTGACTTCATGACTCAACTCCAGCTCCGGGTCTCAATTGTGGCCTCTGAGACACAGGCCCGTCAGCATGCTACGATCTGTCAGGGAAGAAAGAACCTTGTCTCTCTTCCCCTTTTCCTTTCCTCTGTCACTTCCCGATGTCCCTGTCAGTTCCATCTCCACTGACAGAACCTCCGAGTGGGGAAAGACTCAAAAGTCCTCTGCTGCCTGCGTGGAGCTTCCTTTGAGCTCTGAGGAAGTGGGACCCAGCTTGGAGCTTGCCTGGCTGATGAGAGTGTCAGAACTCCTGCCTGCTTTGGTAAATCCAGGTCTAGGGCCCTTCATTAAGTGTGCGTGACTGGGCAGGAGGTAACTGAGACCTTTCTGTGTAGGCCAGAAATTTTACTCCTTGCCTCCCAGCCTGACTCCATGCCAGGCTGTGGGGCGGGTGAGAGCCCTTCCCACCCCAAGGGACCCAGCCCCGGCAGCCGACCTCCACTGGCCAACCACCGCCACGCTCCAGGCCGCTTTCCAGATGGCCACTTGACACATTATAAGACACTTCCTACCCATGTAAGCCTCTTGGAAAGCCCTGCAAGCTGCCGAGAGTATCCCACCCACATAGGCAGAGCCTGGCAAAATCCCCGTGGCATATTTGATATGCCAAATACAGTAACGATAATAGGTCTCATTCCCCTGATCCTGAAAGAGCCTCCAATCGTTGGGAAAAGACGAGTAAGAAGAAGCTGCTAAAATCTCAGGGCTGGGAGGAACAGAGACGTTACTGGCGCCCGCTCGAGTAATTCAATGATCAGTGGGATGACAGTGATACAGCGATACCTCCCAGCCAGGAACCCTGACGTGAGATTGCTTCCAGGAGACTTTCTGATGACCCACTGTCTAGAAAAGGTTAAAAATAATTCTTAGGGGCAGAGAGATGGTACAGAGTTAAGGCACTAGCCTTACGTGTCACCCACCCCGGCTTAAATCTCTAGGGGTCCCCTGAGCACTGCCAGGTATGCTCCCCAGCCCCCCACAAATTGCTTTTTTTTAATACCCCCATGTAGTCTTCCTCCATATTTGTGAAAATAGGGCAAGAACTCTAATTAGGGAAGTTTTGGGATAATAATGAGTTTAAGAGGATAATGACCAGCCCATCTGTCCTAGTTTCCTCTTCCCTGAGGAAGCTTATTAACCAGAGTACTTCCTCTATGGTTGTGGTGTCGAGCCTGTGGTTTATGTCTTTTCCAAATCATTAACCTTCTCTAGCTCCTCTCTCCTGGTATCTCATGTTTAGTTTTGCTGGTGTTCTTAACTGAGGCCACTCTTAACTTCCAGGCTTCTGGCCTCAGAGATCTCTGACCATTGTCTCAAAGTTGTTCCCTTTTCTCTGTGGTCTGCAGGGCTGGCTGCGCCCTTATTCCTCCCTGAGCCTGTTTAGAGCATGAATCTGTTTCTTTGACTGCTTTTTGTTTGTTTGGGGTTTGGTTTCCGGGGCCACACCCAGCGATGCTCAGGACTCACTCCTGGCTCTGCATTTAGGAATTACTCTTAGCAGTGTTTGTGGGATTACATGGGGTGGCAGGGATCCAACCCGGTCAGCTTCATACAAGGCAAGTGTCCTACCCACTGTACTATCACTCCAGTCTCCTCTAACTTCTTTTTGAATGATCTAAATGAGGAGACCCAAATTAGGAGGGGCGGGGGTTTGGGGGATTCAGTTTTCCAAGATTATTCACACTTTCCAGTGTAATTGTACTGCTAAAAACAAAGCAGAATCCCAGGTTCCTGGATTCTAAGGCCAATTCCAAACAGAAATTTTCTCATTTCTCTTTCTTACCTTTGACCACAAACTATCCATCGCTGGTATCTCTACTTTCCGGCTTAAAGGGAAAACAGTAACCTTCCATGCACTCCTATTTTTTATTAAATCTGTTATACCTCAGAAGCTTTTTAAATCAAGAAAAATCTAGAAACATGGCTTATATTCGGTCCACTTGGTATCTTTCTAGTTTAGAGCAGAGACTCCCAGACTAATGTATGTGGCCTCCCATTCCTTTCCAGAAAAACAGACAAAACCACAGTGGTCCTTCTATTCTGCTTCCCATACGTGAGCACACAGAAAGTGTCCTCCAGGGTCCCCCAGTTACTCTGCCCTTGGGTTGTTACAGCACCCTCCTCTCCTGCCCTTCCCCCTTTCTTCCCTTTATCCCCCATCCCCCTTCCCTCTCCTCCCACAGTTGTATTAGGGATTGAACTCAAAGAACAGGAAAGTGCAGCCAGGCCACTGCCGTTCCAGGCGCAAGAAGGGAGGCGCCAATAGAGAGGAAACAGAATGTCTAGGGCTCTGCTTAAAAACTGGCTACGGGGATGGGGGCGAGTGTCCCCTGTGGATCGCCCACCCCCAGTCTCTCTCGGTCACCATTCTCTCCTCTTGTTAGACAACCCCCTGTTCACCTGGGTGGAGGAGCAGGAGGAGGAGGAGGAGGAGGCGGCAGTGGCAGCGGCAGCGGCTGAGACCTGTGGATGGGTAACCTGTGGGCATGCGGCTGCGCCCTGCTGCCCGGGTCGCCTCTGCCGTCCCGCAGGGGTGTGGGTCGGGTCTGCCGAGACTCACAGCCCCTGTGACATTGTGGCTCTCTAACCCTGTTTTGGCTTCTGACTTACCTAAAGCTTTTTGCAGGTTTCAGAAAAGCCAAGATGCTCGGGGTGCTGTGTCCGCTGGCTTCTCTGGCCCTCTTCCTTCCCACCCAGCTCCGTGCCTCCTGGCGCACAGTCTTCATTTAGGGGCTCAAGGCTTCCTGCTCCCTGTTTCCCAATGGCCTCGAACCTGCTTTCCCCATACAGCTTCCCCATGTTCCTGGAAGATATTTTTCATTTATTTTTTTGGGTCATACCCGACAATGTACAGGGGTTACTTCTGGCTCTGCACTCAGGAATTAACTCCTGGTAGTGCTCGGAGGATTATATGGGATGCTGGGGATCAAACCCAGGTCAGCGGCATGCAAGGCAAATGCACTACACCCAGTTTTATCACTCTGGCCCCAGGAAAGTCTTTCTGAGTTGAGATAAATTCACATGTCTAAAATTCACCCTTTTATACTAGACAGCTGTTTGTTTGTTTGTTTGCTTTTAGTATAGCCCTGAGGTTGTGCAACTATGCTCAGAAATAGTTCCAGAACATTACCATCACCCAAAGAAGAAACACCATCCCCCTGAGCAGTCACTCTCTGCACTCCCTTTCCTGCGCCTGTTCATGCACCCTTCGTGAACTTGCGTGCTAAGGCATGTATGGACATGGAGTCGGCACATGTGGCCTTGGTGTCTGGCCTCTTCCCTCCAGGCAGGCAGCTTCTGGGCACTGTGGGTCTCTGCTACTGCCAGGCCCACAGGAGACAGACCTGGTGCCAAAACCACCTTCTTGCTGAGGGGACTGGGGCACCCTATTTGGGTTTGGGGGATGCACATTCTCATAGGACCTGATCTGACTGGTGCCTCTCTTCCTATCTGGGATGACAACTAGAGCCTCTCAGTCCTGAGGCCATGGGGCTGGAATTCATTTGTAGAGGCTTCTCCTGCCCCCTCCCCGCTTCCCCGACATGCTTTTCATACCTCTCTGAGGGGCATATTCAGTGCTCTTGGCATTCGTGTCACAGCTGCTACCCTTGAGGCAGGGAAGAGCCAGGCATGTGGGGCTCTGGGGAGCAGGACGCGGGTGGGTGTGTGGCAGGCGTGTGATGACTGTGTGTGGTCTATTGCTGCTTTTTCGCAGCCTCCTCCGCCCCTGGAGCCTTCCCCCATCCCCGACCCCCCCCCCCCCCCCCCCACTTCCCCCAGCTTGCTAAAGGCCTTCTTCCACTTGGGACAATCCTTTGCAGAGCTGAGGAAGTGTTTGGGGTCTAGAAGTTTCCTGGGAACTCCAAGAATACAAAAATAATAGAATCTATTAAGCTCGAGCCCTTAGAGCAGCCCTGATGAGAAATCTGATGTGGAGTATTTCATCCATAGCTATCACTTTGTCTAGCAGTATCCAAATTCTCCCTTTTTTATTTTTCAAAGTCAACAACTTTTTGGTATCTGTAGGGGGTGGTGCTGGGTCATCTCCAGCTGCGCTCAAAGATCATTCTTGGTGGCGCTCGGAGGACCCTGTGCGGTGCCGGGGATCAAGCATGGGTCAGCTTCATGCTAGGCCAGTGCCTGCCTCACTGTACTATCTCACCGGCTCCACACTCTACTATTTTCATACAGGGGAGCAAGGGCAGGGCTTGCTGTCTTGCCTGCTGACATTCTCTTTTATTTCCTAACCATCCCTTGAACCTCAGGTTTCCAACCAACCGTCCACGGACTGGCTCTGGTCCATGGGTGTGGGAGGGTTGGAAGCCTCTGGTGCCACCTTCTATCTGCCGGTCTGTGGACTGGAGGGCAGGAGAGGTGGTAGCCCGCAGATGTGACAGGCTTGAAGAATGCTGGTAAATTTCACTTGTCTCCTGCCTTTCTTCCTCCAAAATAAAGACCTCTCATGCCACATTTGCATGGCTTCCGGGTGAAGGCTGCGGCCAGCTTGAAAGGATTTCAAAACCAAGCTTTGTTATGGGCAAGATCACTCACGTCTTCTCTTTTGCAGCCAACAGGAAAGCTGGGTGTGCAGTCACGTCACTGCTGGCCTCGGAGCTGACCAAGGATGACGCCATGACCTCCGTCCCCTCCAAGGTGTCCAGGAGCGGGGAGGGAATCCCCACAATCCTGGAGGAAAGCAAGGAGCTGGTCGGCCGAGCAAGCTAGCTGGGTCCTGCAGCCTGGAAGCTCCTGATAGCCCTGCCCTGCAGCATGTGCCTAACGGGTCATGGAGACATTCCTCAGGGGGCTGCCCCCATCTTTCCCCTGACCTGCTACTCCCTGTCCATCACACACAGCTTCCGCTGCCAGGAGGCTAGGAGGAAAGGGCAATGCAGGGAGTCCGGCCCTGGCTGTTGTATTACCAAAGCAGGCTCGTGTTTGCTGCCTTAACCCCAAGAGTCTCCTCCGTTACTATCAGGCCTCGTCTCCGAGGAGCCCCGCCTGCTTTCCCAGCCCCTGCCTCTCCGCTGGGCTTGCCCCTGTTCGTCTTGCTGGGTTTGTGCTTTTCTTCTGTGGTGTCTCCTGCTCTGACAACAGCATGGGGCTTGTGAGCCCGCGGACTTACCCCCCTCTCCTCCCATTGCCTGTCACCTCTGCTCTGCTCTGCTCTGCCCTCCCCTGGCTCTTATTTATTACTAGTAGCGTGGCATGGGGGAGCTGCTTCTAAGGAAGGGGAGCAGATCCCACCCTTACCCCCATCTTTCTGGGCAATGCCTCAAAAAAAAAAAAAACAAGGATCTGGACCCTTCACCAGTTCTGTGGAGGCCTGGGCTTGGGCCTGTGGGCAGGCAGGCAAGGCAGGGAGCCCCAAGCCTGCTGCCAGTCTCGTGCCCTCAGCCCCTGGCACTGCTGCACCAGCCTCTGGCTCCTAAGGCCTGGGCCCTCCTCTTGCCTCCCGGAGCACTGGTGCATTTTTTCTGGAGTCTGGGCTGGATCGTGACCTTCCAACACCTCACCCTTGTCTCCAAGGAAATGGGAGGTGGAGCCTCCTGGCTGAGAAATTGTTTTGCAAATGGATCTATTTTTGTATGAGATTTTTTTTTTAAAGTAATTTTCCCTTTCCCTTGCCCTTTCCCCCTCCATAATGTCAAGGCTTTCATGTCTGTCCTGGATTCCCTCCCCACAGGCCTCACTCCTGAAGCAGCCCCTGAGGCTGGCACAGTCTCCCAGCACCCAGCGCTGGGTAGGAAGGAGCTCTCCTCTGGGGAAGCTGACACCCCCCAGCCCCAGAGCAGCAGGGGCTCAGAGACTGGTTTTTATAAATGTAATATATTTATCAAGCCAAATGTGCAAATGCTAATTGAACACTTGGGGGAACGGTGGGTGGGCACAGGGAGTGTCCCCACACACACATACACACATACACAACACACACACACATAGCCCCAGTCCTTTGTGCCCCCCTTTGCTTCCTGCAAGCATTGGGCAGGCCAGACTGCTCAGTGGCGCCAGCTCCAGGACCCTCAGGTGCCCTGGCTCAAGGTGACAGCTGGCCTCCCTCTTGCATCCCACCTCAGCGAGGGAGAGGGGCTGGCACCTGAGGCCTGGGCGTGCTGCTTCCGCAGAGGGGAGTTAGGACCCTTGCAGCGGGGGAGCAGGGGCAGGAGGGGTCCAGTGGCTGGAGCCTGTGCAGGAGTCAGTGCGGCTCCTCAGAGCTCTTCCCAGGAAGACTGTGTAGCAATGGGGACTGCTGCTTCTCTGGGTCCCCTCCTGCTATCTCATGGGACTTTGACCCTTCCTTTTTTAATCTACTTTTACTAAAATGCATTTATTAAAAAAACAAAGATAAAATGTAAACTTATTTCCCTTGTCTCTTGGGCTTCTGGGTTTATCATCACCTCCAGTTTGTTGGGTCATTTCCAACTCTTAATAAAGCGTCAAAACAGTGGTGCCTCGCTCTTTTGAATTTCTGCACCTTCTTTATGGACCCCAGAGGTGTTTCTACTGTGTTCGGGCTTCCCCTCAGTCTCACCTCTCTACTCCGGGCCGCCTGTCACTTGTCACTGTCACACTATCAGAGTTGTTAGGACTGGTTGTGTCTCATGTGAGGCCCTGGATTCGGTCCCTCATACCACAAAGCTAAACAAAACATACTCCCACTCCTCCCTCCATCGGCCACTGGTAACCAAAACATCATTTCAAAACACTGTGCCAGTTGTGGGCAGGGAGATGGTTCAGAGGACTGGGACTTTGCATGTGAGGTCTGGGGTCTTAGCACCACATGGTCCCCTCAGTACCAGGCTGGGAGCAGCCCAGAGCATGGTCAGATCCGGCCAAAAAAAACAAGGAAACAAAAAAAAAAAACAAAAAAAAAAACAAGGAAACAGAAAGTGGAGCCACTCCTGCAAACACTGCCTGTGCCCAGGGCTGGGGATGGTTGGAGCAGGGTGGCTTCTGGGGGCAATTGCCTTCCACGAGGGAAGGGAGGGGGAGGCAGGGGGGCAGGGAGCTGGGCTTCAGCTCCACATTGCTCCCTCCTGGCATGGAACCCTTTTCTTGAATTCAGGTCTTGCTCCATACTCCAGTCAGCCAGCTTCCTGATAACCTGTGGGCCTCAGGTACTCGTCTGACTCCTGTTCGCCCAGCCCCATCCTCTTTGGGGGCCACAGATCACATTCCAGACTAGAGGGACACTGGGGCGGGCAGAAACCTGAGCCTGCCCACAGAGGTCAGAAGCCAGAGGTCATGCCCCAGATGCTTGAGGCTCAGAGCCCTGCTGGAGAACGGGACAGCGGCACAAAGACCCAAAACGGAGGGGGCTGGAAAGGACCGCAAGCCCGTTGGAAACTAGAAATAAAAACCTTGTAAATAGCCCTGGAGCCTGGACAGCTGCCTTCACAGTATGACTGGAGAGTGGAGGGGCGTGGGGGTGGGTTGCTTGCCTCATCCTTCCGCCCCCCACTTCGCGGTCCCCCACCCCCACCCTTCCCGGGCCTCCTGTTTGGCTGAGCTTTATAGACACACATGCCAATTAGGGGGCCAGCCGCAGCTGCTCAGAGCCCTGCCAGTCTACTGTCGTGCCTGGAATAGAACCCAGGCCTAGGCCCCCCGCCCTCTGCAGCCTGGCTTTCAGAAACAGAACCCCGCTTCCATGCCTGGAACCACGCACGGCGCTCTGCCACCCACGCAAGGAAGGCGCCCGTGATGCTTAGTTGGGAGCCTTGGTTTCCATGGCAACAGACTTCTTGAGCTGGCAGAACACGTGACCTGGGTTCAGCTAGGAGTCCAGACTCGGATAACCTGAAACCCCCTGGGGTGTGGCTGTGTGTGTGTGTGGGGGGGGGGGTGGTCTGTGTTTCAGTCCTGCCACCACTCTCGGCCATCACGACTTGCCCCTGCCCCTTCTCCGCAGGAACAATCTCAGAAGCCCGTAATGCTAAGACGAGGCCGGCGGGGTGGGGAGATCCGCGCGGGTGGATGGAAAAGCACGAAGCGGGGGGGGGGGGGGGGGGGGCGAGCTGCGGGCGATCTCATTTCCTGCTTTCCTTTTCCGTCCCCCTCACCCCCCAACCCCCCCGAAGGCCGCCGACGACAACACCATTTTGCTTCGCTCCACAAGTCGCAGCCTTGGAGCATCGCCTCCGCATCCCCTCAACTCCCGGCCCCACCCTATTTCTGCGGGGCTCCCCAAGACCCCAGTCAGCGAGGTGGCAGGGGAGAATGTGCCCTCCTCCCGGGACGCCCTGGTGTGTGTGTGGGAGGGAGGGTCGGGGGGGTTGCTCAAGGGTGGTAATTCTAGCCCGGAAGGAAGGGCAGGGAACGCGGAAAACTTCCACTGCCCCCTCCTCCCTGCGCCCGCCCCGCCCCCGCGCCGGAATCTCCACTTCTGCCCAGAGACTGGTGCTAAGAACCGCGGCAGAGACAGCAGCGCGCGTGCGCGGGCGGGCACACGCACACACATGCACGCATCGGACCCCTCCCCCATAACGGACTCGCGCGCCCATCACCCACCACCGCACTGAGCTCCACAAGCACAACCTGTCCATCGCACACCGTTTCACTTGGACAAAGGGATCGTGCGCCGCCGACGCAGCCACAACTGCCAGTCATTCGCCCGCTGGGCAAAGACACAAAACCCTCACGCACGCACAATCATCTGCCTCCCCCCGCCCCCATTCCCATTCATCTCCCCCGCACACCTCCCTGCAACCCCCCACGGCGTATCTGTGCAGCCACCCATGGCCCGAGCCCCCGTCGCTTACACAGGAACGTCCAGCCGTTCAGAAGAAACCTTTTTATTATTTTTTTCCAAGAAAAAAAAAGCCATATAAATATTAGAGTATAAAACTTGCGTGAGACAAGGGGTAGGGTGGGGGTGGGGAGCTACATGACTATGCGGAGAAGCGCTTATAGGAGTCAGTACCGGGGAGGGGGGTCGCCGCAGCGCGTGGACACAGCACAAAACACAGCACGGGCCGCCGGGCAGACCGGGGACAGAAGACCGCGCGGAGCCCGCTGCCCGCTGCCCACTCGCCATCACGGAAAAGCACACCGCACTACACTATTGGCTATTCTACACCAGCCGAAAGGGGGGTCTCTATACTACTGTAGGGCCGGGATGGGGTTCTCGCGCAGCCCCGCTGGACGAACGGGACCGGGAGACAGAAGGGGCTGGGCAGAGGAAAGGTCTATGCACAAGGAGGCACTGGGGGACTTTAACCAGGCTCTGGCCACTAGGGGGCGGACTAGGGGCCTGGGCAGTGACCTTCGCGGAGAAGAAATGGCACCTGGCAAGGTTAAGGACCCAGGCTGGAGGAGCGCAGCGGTCCCGTGGAGAAGCCCTGATCCGGGCTGAGATGAGTCTCCACTTGGTCTATGCTGCCTCTTGCCTCCCCAACCCAGGGTCGAGAATGGCATAACCGGCCCTCTCCACCTGCAGGGCCACACTGATCCTTCAACAGAGGCTCCTCTGGAGTACCCAGCACCCACAGAGGATCCTCTGACCTCTGCGGGGGGGCGGGGGGAACCTGGTCCTCAGCGTTCTCAGTGCTACCTTTGACCTAATGTCAGTTTGAATACAGAGTTGCCGGTAGCTCTGCCCAAGGCTGGCTGAGAGGTGGGTGAGGGTCTAGCCTGGTACTTAGTTGATGGCTGGAATTTGGGGATCTGGTCAGTACCCTGGGGCATACAGAGCTTCCTGTCCCACAAGACCCTATTTAGCTGATGGGTCAAGCTTTGTCCAACCCCCCCTCTCTTCCACATTCACACCCTTCCCTTTTCTATCTTACCACCGCATACTTAACGGCTTGGAACATGCAATGGAGTCTCTTGTATGGGGTGCGGGAAGTCACAGCATGCAGTGGGAATATCAAACAGTGACAAATGGAAAACAAAAGACTGGTCCCCAGGGCTTCGGGAAGAGGAATGGCAGCAAAATGCCCTCCCTAAATCCAGCAAGCATCAGTACCACGGGGCTGGTGACTGTGTAATCCAAATCTTGAGCTTGGTCTCAGGCTCTGGCAGGCGCCCAATGGGCTGGCACCAAACCACGCTTTAGGAGGGAAGTGGGAAAACTAAAGGGAAAGCCATGGTTGTGGTGCCCGCCCATCTCTTCAGAACTCTGAGCCATTCTGGGTCACCTGGTAGGTACCTCAACACCCCAACCACCTTATTGGGGGGAAAGAGGAAATGTTGAAGGATTGGGGTGGGGTAGGGGGGAGGGCCAGGAGCAGGTAGATGATTCTGATTGAATTTAGAAGATGGAGGAGTTCAGCCGTAACTAAAGGGGGTGTGATAAATGGTTCTCGGTGTCTACACTAACCCTACTACCCCCATGGGCACAGCAATGGATTGGATGGGGGTTCCCAGCAGAACTCCCTTTGCATATTCAATCCCCCCGGAGGGGGGGGCAGAGAGGGGGGTGTTGACTGGGCACTTGTTTCTGTTTCCCAAGGGAAGAATGGCCTTGGCCCCACCCAGTATCCTGGGGGCCAGCCCTAGAAATCCAAGGCCTGGGTACAGGTGGGGAGAGGCTGGGCTGACTGGGGTGGGAGGTGCCCGCGGGCTCCAGGCCTGGCCTCCACGTTACTTCTTTTCCTTCTTGCCTGACTTCTTCTTGTTGCCGTTGCCGTTTGCTGGGGCCTTGCCGTCCCGCTTGCCAGCTGCGCTGGTAAGTGTGGCATTGCTGCCGGGGATGTAGACGTTCTGGCGGTAGTCGGGCACATGCTGCAGGGTGAACTGGGGCCCATAGCGGGCACTCAGGCCCATGGTGCCAGCCCCCCCTCCTAGGGTGGAGCTCCCATCAGCGGCTTCTGTGGAGACAAAGAAAGGCCAGAAGCTAAATTTCCGGTCCCCAGTCACAGCTCTAGTACCTCAAGGAGCTAATGACCACCCCCCCACCCCAGCCTGCCTAGCATTGGGAATTCCCTCCCTAGTCCTAATGTCCTCTGTCTCCTCAGTTTTCTCTTCTGCAAAATGGGGATGGTACTGTATCACCTCTTCTGCGTTTGTAGAAGGCAAAGTAGGAGCACTTATGTAATGAATCTAGATCAGTGCCTGGGGCACGTAAGGCCTGAAAAAATGCTCGCTGTTATTTTCTCTTAGGGCTGAGATGCAGCTGAGACCCTAAGGCTTTTGCCCTTTTCAAGGGGGTCTCTCAAGCGCCCAGCTCCAGGGATCCTGGAGGTCCAGGCCTGCCAGGGTGGAGCAGAGAGTCAGACCCAAACAGCTGAGCAGCACAGAGAGAGTCTCAGCAGCCTCTCAGGAGGCGGTGCTGTAACTGTCCACCTCATAGCAATCTGGGACCTGCACTCTCTCCGGCCAACACCCCACTGAGTGTGCTATTTTCCCCACCTCACAGAGAGGGGAAGCAAGGCTCAGGGTCCCACCAGCCTGTACAGGTTCTGGCGGGACGTAGGGTGGGCGCCTCTGTGAGCAGATGACCCCTAGCCAGCTTGGACACAGGGTGCCAGAGAGCCGCCAACCCTGCTTCCCACCGCACCCAAGAGACAGGGCCAGAGTTTACACCCTCTGGTCCTGCCTCTGCATCTGCTGGGAGCTGGTAGAAACAAACTCTGTGCAGCAGATCGAGCTCCGGGAATGGCGATCTGGCAGGGTAGAGAAGTGCCTCAGGGCTATGGAGGGTCCAGCAGGACCGGATGGGGCTTCCAACCCCAGGAGAGGTAAGTGCATCACAAGTGTCAGCTGGCAGCCACCAGTGTGTCCTTATTTCCATCCCACCGCTCCCTGGCCCAGGGTGCACTGGAGGGGACCCCCGTGCTGCTGAGTCCCGGCTGGAGGCCCCCAGCCGCGTGAGGGTTAAAGGCCCAGGACCGCCCAGCCCGCTTTCATACCCCAGACCCCGCCAATGACTAAGGCGGAGAGGTTGAGTAATGCCGGGACACGGACCAGGCATTGGGAAACCGGCAGGAAATATTTTCAAAGAACGACACAGGCGGAGAGGAGGGGGGCAGAGAGAAAAGGGAAAGGAAAGATGAGCCCGGGTCTTTCCGCCTCCTCAGGTTTCACCAGCTTCCATTTCAGGTTCCAAATCCCCGGATCCTGGGGCCTGCGGGGGTGGGGGTGGGGGAATGCGGGAGAGGGAGGGGGGCCGCGGAGACCACGAGGAAGGGCGCAGCTGCCCACTTCCCTCTCCCCTCCGCAGCTGCTCCCCTCCCCCTAGCCCTTTCTTTGCACAGCCGCTTCCCTCTTTCCACTAATTGACTCCAGGAGGGAGCCACGTGCTGGCCGCGTCCCCACCCCCAGCCTGGGAATGGAAGTGCAGGGGGCGGGGGCCAGATCTGCCTTCAAAGAGTCAGGACTCCAGAGTGATTTAGGGCTAGAGGGAGACTTTGGAGGCGCCAGGACACACACACACACACACACATACACACACACACACACAAGCACACACACAATGCACACACACCATACATACATGCCCATGCACACATATATGCTCACAATGCACACACACTATACACACCATACATACATGCACATGCACACACATGCACTCACATACGCATGCACACACATGTATGCACACAAGCACATGCACATACGCACATGCATGCACACACATGCACATACACGCATGAACACACACATACCAAGTTGGGGAGCAGGGAGACAAAAACAGAAAACTAGGAGGAGCCTGACTGGGTAAGAAGCTGAAGCCACCACATCCTATGTTCACCCAACATCCCAGAGGGGCCCCCAACCCCTGACACCTCCTCCACCTCCTGAGGCCAGTGGGCTGCAGACAGGTGAGTCCACCGCACAGGGCGTCAGGGCTTCCATGGTCAGCCCAGTTGAGTCAGGCATCCCTTCCCCTACTCCGCAGGGCCCGATGACCCCCAACAAGACCCAGGAAGGGGATGGGACAGAATCTCCCTTAATTCAAGAAGAACCAGATTCTGTAGAGCTGCCAGAAGCATCCTGTGCCATCATGGCTGAGATGGTGAGAGCCAGTCTCCTCTCTCCCATGTCCACCCTCCCCGGATACAGCTTCCCCTCTGTACCCATCTCCCTTCCCCCACACCTGCAGCCCAGGGCTGAGGTGACCCGGCTCCCTCGCAGCAGCAGCAGCAGAGCAGCCCAGGGAGGCCTGGTCAAGCGAGGCCAGAGGTGGCTGAAGTGCAAACCGCAGCCTCCTCGAGAGAGCGCACCTCCTCCGTGCTGTTTATTTAAGAGGCTCAGAAGTGCTTCCCTTCCTCTCCCGCGCCAGCCTGCTGCAGCCCCACAGGCCTGGCTGGGCCGGGCTCCAGGGCCAGGAATGGGGTGTGAAAGCGCGAGCAGGGTCCTGACTCTGCCACCTTCACCCTCTGGGGCAACTCCCCAGGGCCAGGCCAGCCTGGGTCAGGCCCTGTGTGGGCCAGGCTGCAGGCCTGCGGAGGGGGGTTGGGAGCGTTTTAGAGGGGCTGAAACCATAAATACTGATTTCATTTCTGTTTTTAAAATCTGGTTGTAGCCTAAAAAGCCTGCTCCTGGCCTGAGGCCTCCAGACCACAAGACTAAATATAGCTGATGGTCTGTTTAATTCCCTCCAGGGCCATCCTGGGCTCCCCAGCGGCCCTTCTCTGTCATGGTCAGCATCCGGCCTCTAGAATTATGGCCTCACAGCCTGGGCCAGCTCTGTCCCAAAAGACTGGCCAACACTTCTCTCCTCTGTCCATTCACCAACCACAGACCTGGCCCCACGTGGCCTCACAGACACATCTGCAGAAGGACCAGATTTAGCAAACAAAAATATAGGGCACAGTGAAATTGGAACTTCAGGGAAACGAGTCTTTTTTTAAAAAGAACTATATTTTTATGGGATATTATAGTCTATATAATAGGATGTCCCAGTACTCTTGTTGGGGATCTATTTGTGTTAAAATATTATTTGTGGCTGGAGCAGAGAGATAGTACAGTTATTTAGGCGCTTGCCTGGCATGCAGCCAACCCAGGTGCGAACTCCTGTACCCCATTATGGTCCCCTGAGCACCAACAGGAGTAAGCCCTGAGCACAGCTGGGTGTGACTCAAAATCCAAATACGTGTGTGTGTGTGTATATATATATACATACACATACACACACACACATATATATATACACACACACACAAAGCATGGGTAGAGCGATAGCACAGTGGCAAGGCACTCGGGCCAACCCTGGTTCGACTCCTCCGCCCCTCTCGAAGAGCCCGGCAAGCTACCGAGAGTATGGCACCGGCACGGCAAAAGCCTGGCAAGCTAACCGTGATGTATTCAATATGCCAAAAACAGTAACAAGACTCACAATGGAGACGTTACTTGTGCCCACTCGAGCAAATCAATGAACAACGGGAGGACAGTGACTTTGCTATATATATAGCACAGCAGGTAGGGTGTTTGCCTTGCATGCGGCCAACCCGAGTTCGATTCCTCTGTCCTTCTTGGAGAGCCCAGCAAGCTACCGAGAGTATCTTATCTGCACGGCAAAACCTTGTAACCTCCCCGTGACGTATCCGATATGCCAAACACAGTTAACAATAAGTCTCACAATGGAGACGTTACTGGGCTCGCTCAAGCAAATCGATGAACAACAGGACAGTGTGCTACAGTGCTTTTATATATATATATACATATACATATATGCATATACACATGTATATATAAAATATATGTGTATATATGTATATGTACATATATGTATGTATATAAAAGCACTGTAGCACACTATATATATAAAAAATACATATATTACATACACACATATATGTATGTATGTATATATGTGTGTGTATATATATATAATTTGTGGTTTAATAAAATTTAACTGGGCAACTAAGCTTATGGATAAAATCCAGATTTAACCTGGAAGCCCTAATTTGGGAGAATAATGCAGGGCATTAAGAGATCTCAGCTGCTAGAGAAACTGAGGCTGGCTCTAAAGGCAGATATGGACACCAAAGTGATATAGCCTGAACCTGGGAGTCAGGCTGGGCTGGAACCACCAAATCTGCAGCTCAAACACCTCTTCCGCATTTTTCAGCTCTCGCTGTAAGCGCAGTTAGGGCTTCGCAGGGTGGACAGGGAGACTTGGAGGAGAGCAAGGAGTCAGTGGGGGCCCAGAAAGTTTGTCTAGCGTGTGCCTGGGACAATAGCAGGTATGGTGAGGGTGTTAACTGTTCTGGCATTACCTGCTTCTCTACCCTCAGGTCTCCAGCATGGCTCAGCAGCTCCCTGACCTTCTGTGATTGCCTAGAAGACACTTTTGCTATCCCAGAAGCAAATTCTTTTTTTTTTTTTTATTTTGGGGGCCACACCCAGCTATGCTCAGGGGCTACTCCCGGCTCTGCACTCAGGAATCGCTCCTGGTGGAACTCGGGGGCCCTATGGGATGCTGGGGGGTCGAACCCGGGTTGGGCATGCAAACATCCTACCCACTGTACTCTCTCTGCAGGTCCAGAAGTGAGGTCTTATGAAGAGGCTTTCCTCTCATCCTGCCTGTTAGTCACTCTGACGGCTCAATAAAGACAAGGAATCCATTTTAGCCACCATGTATCATGCCTGGGCTCTCTGCCAGTCCCCAGGCCTTCTATTGGCCCTCACAATAGACCCCCCAACCCCCAACCTGCCCCCGGAAATCCTCTCTGCACCCATTTCACAGCAAGTGAAACCGCGGGCCAGAGAGCCTCACAGCTAACGTAGGGGGTGGCAGGGTGGGATTGGAATCCACTGGCCTCCCTCCAAAGTCTACGCTCTGAAGTACTAATAACATGGTTCTGCTTCCCCTGCCCAGACCCCGTGACTCCCGGGTGACAATCATCCTCGGCATTCAGCCTGTGAGGAAACAGACTTCAGAACAGAGTGTGTGCTGTAGCCAAGTGGGCCAGGCCCATAAAGAGGTCTTTTCCTTTTTTCTTTTCTTTTCTTTTCCTTTTTTAATTTTTGGGACACATCCATGGTGCTCAAGGCTTACTCCTGGCTCTGCACTCAGGAATCACTCCTGGGGAGTGATTGGGATACTGGACTAAATGGGATACTGAAGATAAAACCTGGGTCGGCCATGTGCTAGGCAAACGCCCTCCCCGCTGTACTATCTCTCCATAGAAAGGCCACTTTGGGGTCTTTTCTTCCTTTTATTTTTGCTTTTTGGGTTACACCTGGCGATGCAGAGGGATTACTTTTGACTCTGTACTCAGGAATTACTCCTGGCAGTGCTCAGAGGACCATATGAGATGCTGGGAATCAAACCCGGGTCAGCCGCATGCAAGGCAAACGCCCTACCTACCCGCTGTACTACAGTTCCAGCCCCGAGGTCTTTTCACTTACACCTCCCAGCCACCCTTTGAGGTCTCTGTTCCCATTTTCTTGGCTGCAGAAACTGGAGTTTAGAGAGAATTATCTGGGACTGGGATGTGTGAGGCCCTGAGTTCTATATCCAGCACTGCACATAGCCTCACCTGGACGCTTCAGCACAAGGTTGATATGCAGACAAAGTGCGGGCCAGGGCTGGTCCCTGCTAAGGTGACATGCTTCTCCTCCACTCCCCTCATCTCCATGGACCTATCCTCCTCATGCCCCCCTCTTCCCGGGCATCCAGGAGCCCTCATCCCTCTGCTGCGGCTTCGGTACTAGAATTATGGGGCTTCTTGGGGAGTCGGGAGACGAGAAAAGCCAGGAAAGCTAAGGCTTTTTTTAAAGCTAAGGATGCCCCCACACCCCAGCACACCCACAACTCACCACTGGCGGAGGCCAAGATCATGGCCTGCAGCATCTCTGTATCAAACTGGTTGTTGGGCCAGGTGCCGGTCTCATCGCCATTTTGGGAGCTGGGGAGGAAGGGACACGGTGAGCACAGTTCCCAGATCAGCCAGGTTAATGCTCCCCATCTTTTCCCAGCACCCCCAAATCCAGTATTTTCTTCTCACCCCCTGCCCAAGACCTGCTTTCTTTCAGCCAGGTTGGACATAGTTGAGACAATTCTTTTTTTTTGTTTTTGGTTTTTATGTTTTGGGGTTGTTGTTGTTGTTATTGTTGTTGTTATTGTTGGTGTGTGTGTGTGAGTGAGTGTGTGTGTGTGTGTGTGTGTGTGTGTGTGTGCGCGTGCTTGCTTTTGGGCCACACCCTGCATGCTCACGGGTTACTCTACTCCTGGCTCTGCGTTCAGGAATTATTCCTGGTGGGGCTTGGGGGACCATATGGGATACTGGGGATTGACCTGGGTCAGCTGCATACAAGGTAAATGCTTCCCCACTGTACCATCAGCCCCTGACACAATGTTTCAGGAGTCAGACTTCTCCCTGCCCCCAGAAAGGGACAGGATAGCACAACAGTCACCCTGGTGAGAGCAGACCATCTCCCTAGAACAACTCAAGTGGAAAGGGAAGAGGATGTGTCAAAACCAGGAGAAGGGGTAAGAACCCAGAGAGACCCAGGGGAGAGTAATGGGAGTCCAGAGAGAGAGAGAGAGAGAGAGAGAGAGAGAGAGAGAGAGAAAGAAAGAGAGAGAGATTTCTAACATTCAAATGTTGGGCTGGAGCGATAGCACAGTGGGTAAGGCGTTTGCCTTGCATGCAACAAACCCAGGTTCAACTCCCAGCATCCCATATGGTCCCTCGAGCACTGGCAGGAGTAATTCCTGAGTGCAGCGCCAGGAATAACCCCTGAGCATTGCCGGGTATGACCCAAAAAGCAAAAAAACAAAACAAAACAAAACAAAACAAAAACCAAAAAACCCCCAAATGTTTAGAGTGTTCAGTGCCTTTCTGAGTCCCAAGGATCAAGCCCATTGCACTGAACACTGAAGAACCCCTGTAAACCCTCTAGTTCACAAGAACCCTAGCTCTGAGCCCAAACATTCAATCATTAAACTTTTCTGAGGCAAGTCCTCCTTCCCTCCATCTCTCCTCCCCCAGCCTCCATTTTTATTTCCTTGTTTTGTGGTGCCAGGGATCGACCCTGGGTTGATCTTGCACCCAGTGCAAGAGAGACAGAGATTGGGGTAGACGCCAAGTCACTGAGCCCCATCCCCGTCCCCCCAAGCTCTTTTCAACAGCAAATTCCAGGCAGATCCAGTTACTGGAGCTGGTTCTCAGCTTTGCTTTGGTCATGGGAATACAGTGTATCCAATGGGTCTACACTCAACCAGGCTGGGTCAGGTGCCTCTGTCACACTCGTGACCACTCTGGCTGCCCTGGGTGACTCTAGGGTTCTGGTCCTTGTTGCTGCAGCCAGGCTGTACCTGCCCAAGCACCTAAGGCCTTTCACCTCTTCGAGTGCTGAGAAGAACATGAAGAGATTCAATATATTCTTTTTATTGTTGCTTTGTTTTGTTTTGGGGTCACTGCCTCCTGTGCTCAGGGCTTACTCCTGGCTCTGTGCTCTGGGATCACTCCTGGCAGGACTCAGGGGAACTGTAAGTGATGCCAGGGATCGACCCTGGGTCAGGAATGTGCAAGGCAGGTGCCCTACTTTCTGTGCTACCTCTCTAGCTTTTGAGATTCAAAATCTTAAAAATGTGAATTCTCAGGCCTGGGTGGGAGCACAGAGGGGGAGCTCGTGCCCCCTTGCAGGAGGCCCCAGAGATGGGGAAGACCATCTCCACAGCACTGAGGGAGGCAGTCTGGTGGCCCCCAGCACATTGTGGAGCCCAAGGTCAAGTGTCACCAAAAATAGCCCCCAAACTCTCAAGCATATTTGGGGTGAACCCCACTGAAGAAAACAAATTCCATTTTTAAATGCTACCTATAAAACAGCCCTACAGAATTTCAACCTTGGTTTTCCGATAGTGAATATTCCCATGTTTCTTTTGAAACTTCAAAGTTCAAATCATTTCCATTTCTTTGTGTGTGTGTGTGTGTGTGTGTGTGTGTGTGTGTGTGTGTGAGGGGGTTGGATTTGGGCCACACATGGCAATGCTCAGAGGTTACTGCACTCAGGAATTACTCCTGGTGGTGCTCTGAGGATCATCTGGGATGCCAGGGATCAAACCCGTGTTTGCTACATGCAAGGCAATGTAGGGGGGTGCTGTACAGTGAGGTCACTCTGAGTAAGGAGGACATTAAGGGACCCGGGGGTTGCTCAGAGGGCGTGAGCACTTGCTGTGCATGAGGGAGCTCCGGGTGTGATCCCCATTCCTTGAACCCTCATGGTCCCCCAGCACTAGTGGGTGTGGTCCCACCTCTCAGGATAAAGGAAAGGACAGCACACAGGGCGCAGGTCTTGAAGGAGTTAAAGTGGGTGAGGTGAGAGCCACAAGTGTTGGAAAACCTTCCCAGGGTCTGTACCTGCGGACGGGTATCCCAAGGAGATAGGCTCATCCAGGGGCTCCTGGAGGTGTCCCTTACACAGTAACAGCAGATGACTGTCATCAAGGTTGGAGGGAAAAGGCGAGCTCTCATTTCTCTTCCACCATAATGGAAAGACTAAGAATTCTCTATCCATTTCTAGAGCAACTATTCAACTGCAGACAGGAGCCTAGGTAGGGCAAAGTCATGACCAGGACAGAACAGTCTGTCCTTACCAGGCCCACAGTCCACACTGACAGGCTGGTATTCAATCATTACAGTTATGTCATGGCAGTTGGGACAAGGGCCATGGAGGCAAAGAGCAGAGGGAGTCCGGGGGAGCCCTGACTAGTCCAGATCCAGGGTGGGAGGGGTCCCTCAGTTTAGCCTTGCTGAGGAGTGAAATTTACATCTGAAGCAGTGAGCCAGGTGATTTACATGAAAATGGCAGCTAAATAAATGTGGAAAAAAGAAAGGAAAATGGCTACTTTGTAACCACATATAAAGGAGATTCAGGCAAGGATCATCCCTGAATACTAAAATACTGCATGTGGGTGAAAGATTGCTGCAGTCTCAAATGCCAACCACTGTCACATATTAATCACAAACATTTGAAACTATATTATGGGATCCGGGGATACCACTTTAGCCAAGTGAACACTCTGAACATCACTGACACTGAAACAAACTGACAGGAAATGGTTCTTTCTGTGCTGAGGGAGCACAGTGCACCCTGCAGAATTCTTTCTCTCTCTTCCTCTCTCTCTCTTTCTGGGGGATGGAGATTCTGGGGATCAAACCCAGTGTCTCATAAATATGAGATGTGTACTCCACAACACTGAGCTATATTCTCAACTGCCCTGCAATATCTGTTTTTAGGGGGTAAGGAGGTGAGGAGGGGACTCCCAAATGTTGATTAGGGGTACAGGGTCAATCCCAGTGATTCTGGGCTAACCAGTCAATGGTTCAATGTAGGGTCTAAAGATATGGTACACCTCATGATGTCTCACTATTAAAAATTTTTTTAATATAAAAAAATAAATAAAGATATGGTACAGTTAAAACCCTGCAGTGTTTCAGGACCACAAGGGCCACCCTGGCATTGGTCAGAGGCCTATAGGGTCATGCCCAGAGGGCCTTGGAGGGGGTGTGGCATGTGGTACTGAGGATCAAATCCCAGTAGGATATATATACTCTGGACTCACGATCCCAGCCCTGTGCTCTCTCGACCCCCATGCAGTGCTCTAACCAGGACTGTTTCATCTAATCTCAGCATGAGAGGAGCCGCAAATCCAGACCGGGACATTTAGAGAGATAACTGTAAATGCACACGGTCATTTAGAGAGATAAGGGACCTGGGCTCTCCAAGAACTAAGTCATTAAGGAAATATTTTAAAGTCAGGAGATTGTTCTGGAGTAAAGGTGATGAAAGGGAAAAAGCAAGCAAATGCCATCCAGGCTTCCAATGATTTAACTCGCACATTAAAAATAAAAAGGAGAAAAGATTAACAGAGAGGGGTCAGAGGTGTGGCTCAGGTTACACTGATGGGTTTGATCCCAGGCATGTCATGGCCCCCATTCACAGTATTATGGATGTGGCCCCAATAACAACAAAAAAGTGTGTGTGGGGGGGAGGGATTTAAGTATTTAAAAATCACATTATCAGGCACCTGAGAGATAGTACAATGTGTAGGGTGCTTGCCTTGCATGTAGTCGACCTGGGTTCTATCCCAAGCATCCCACACATTCCCCCCAGAACTGTCAGGAGTGATTCCTTAGTGCAGAGCCAGGAGTAACCCCTAAGCACTGCCAAAAACCAAAGTACTGCACTGTAGCACTGTCCTCCCGTTGTTCATCGATTTGCTCGAGCGGGCATCAGTAATGTTTCCATTGTGAGACTTGTTACTGTTTTTGGCATATCAAATACGCCACAGGGAGCTTGCCAAGCTTTGCCATACACTCGGTAGCTTGCCAGGCTTTCCGAGAGGGGCCGAGGAATAGAACCTAGGTTGGCCGCATGCAAGGCAAACACCCTTTGCTGTGCTGTCGCTTCAATTCCCAAAAGCCAAAAAGAAATATAATTAAAAATTAAAGACGACCCTATCCTGGGGGTAGAACTGGGTCCTGGGAGTAGAACTGGGAGGAAGTACTGGGAGTACCTCTGGGAGGAAGGAGACAAGATGGGGTCTCTACTTGCAGCCCCCTGAGCTCTCTCTGGGCTCCAAAGGGGTTAGACACAACAGGTGACGCCTGTTGGGGACAGAGTGGGAAGCAGGAGAGGCAGTGGGGAAGCTGACACTTGGGGATGTGAGCTCCATCCACAACCTTGCAGGTGTGCAGTGGTATTGAGGGAATAAACAGGAGTGGAAAGTGGGCTTAGAACCAAAACAGGCTGACTTAGTAAGGGGGATTCTGGGATATGGAGGCTGAAGCCCGAGCATAGGCCAACTGCAAGCTCTTTGAGAAATGAACCGCAGAGAAGACACTTCTTTTGAGCTCGTCTCTGGGCAGGCATGCATGCATGTGTGCATGTGCAAACACAC